AGTGCAAAAGCACATGTCGAAAAAACACTTTATCGCGTTCCATTTTTCACAAAGCAAAAGAAATTGTTGTTTAGGAAAATAATTGTGTATGCTGACTGAATGTTATCGAGAAATGTCGAAATTAATCACAAACTACCTGTTTCGTTAGTAATGACTACTAGAACTGTTTGCATTGCCATCTAACATTTGCGGGCGGAAACTAAGTTAAGGTCCTAATACTTTACTTTTAATAAATAGTCATTGATTTAATTGATATAATATAGTGTTACAAGAGAAACCATAAATTTTTAAACAATTTTTCAGGTTTCAACAGGTTTTCGTGATTTATGAATTCCAATGCCTTTTTCAAAATTTACGTTTTTATAACACTTCATTCATAAGCGTTTAAATAAAAAAAATTTATGTAATATCCACTTTTCAAAGAAATGTTTATAACTAAAAATAACTAGATGTATTACACAGCCAATATGGTGAATCGCAATTGGAATAAAGTGTAGTGCACAGGAATTAATATATACATTTGCTATAAATTACGTAATGTTGAAGACTGTACAAAAAAATAAAAACAAGATATAATGTACTTAATTTTGAACTCGTTTTCAACATTACCAAATATTTCATCTCCTTATAAATTCCATATTTAAAATGTACTCTCATTCAAATTAAAAATAATTTTAAATACATTCATGTTTTTTCAGTGCTTACAATATATAGTATACAGAAAGTCATTTATATGAGTTCATTACGTCCTACCTTTATTATAATACGGTCGAGAATAATGAATTTCATCAATGGGATGCACGAACTTCTTCTGTAACACAGGTGCCATTTGGAAATCGACGTCATAGTTCAAGGCACCTTGCATAGTCTGAACGATGGAAAGGTCTATAATCGACGAGTCATGTTCGTACTGCAAGTGAATGTTGTTGCGGTCGAGTTAATATAATATAGAAATAATAATATAATATAGAAAAAACTGTACACACACAACACAATTTTACAATATAAAAGTGTGAAATGACTAACTTACAGAAACTTAAAAGCATTTTGGCAAAGCTAAAAATATAGAATTACCTGGAAAATGGCAAAATAACTTAAGAAGGATGCAAGTATCTTAATTAGCAAAAAATAAGAAGAGCACATTATTTGGGCGAGGACTTCTCGCGCTAATGAATCGCCTACTATCTTATTGATATACATTTTACGACCTGGAAAATCTGTAGCATTATCATACTTAAAGCTTTCTTCCCTGCAAAATAAACATAAAATTATTCGGTGAAATATATCCTTGCCATCATATATTCATAATTGTTTATTCTAGTGCAATTTCAGGAAAAAAATATCGTCGTACATTTCACATTTTCCAACAATTATTTGCCTCATTAAAAGGCATGTACACGTTTTCTACACTGTCGATTAATATTATAATATCCTTTTTGAATAACAGAGGAAACATTACTCTAAAATACTTTACCTCAGAAGCATTTATCAGATTACACAATAACATTAGCTGCACTCTGATTATGTACCTGTATATAATAACTCCTAAACTTCCTATAATCTGCGATGGAAAATTCGGAATTACGATGTGATCAGTTTCCATAATTCCATAATGGACACGGATGTAATTTTTGAAAAGATCTTTCGTTTTCGGAAATACGATGTGATCATTTTCCATAATTCCATAATGGACACCAAGGTAATTCTTGAAAAGTTCTTTCGTGTTCCGAATTTCCAACGTAATGTTCGCATTTTTCACTATATTCCTTTGATACCAATACAAATCATCGCCCAAATAACTATGAGTCATGTCATCAACCATTATGATTGCCACTTGACTTGAAGCTATAGGTTTGCTAATAAGGAAATACGTTAATGAGGTACCATCTGATTTGTTTATCAGCTTTTCTACTGGCATATTCGATATAACATTGTACTGCTCAGGATGCTCGATAATAATCTCATAATACATGTGTATTTCCGGTACATCCCAACATGGAAATAATGTTCGAGCACGATTTGATGTGGGCAATATTCCAAGAAACCACCTAACGCAAAGCAATATTTCAGTAATGATAAATCAATTTCAGTTTTTGCATAAAAATTCATCAATTAGTTATCTATATATGGTGTTAATTATTATTAAATTAGAAGTCATGCCTGAATCTTGGAATAATATTTATGTAAAATGACGCACCGTTCATGTTAATAGTAATTAACATTTTTTAATAATTATATAGTTTATAAAAAGATTGTATTTCATCGTTTAAGTCATTTGGTTCGGATTAATGCACAAATTGTAATATTTACCGAACGATAGAATTTAAATTTCTTTATATAAGTTAAAAATAAAGACAAAACTTATATGACTATTTTGTGTCCGAAGTTCATTATTTTATATAAATTAAGAAAAAAGTATGTTTCTCGAAAGACAATTACACATGCAGTTACATTTACATTTAATTTTGCGGAGGATAGAAAATTTCCTTTAAAATCAAGCGGCACGAGTGCGGCACGACACTAAGATATAACTGACCAGTTGAACATAATTTAGTTTGATATGAAAAACAGCATGAAACGTTACAGCACTATAAATAACTTATCCGAAGTTTTCACGTCAAAAAAACTTTGATTAATATATCTGACCAAAATAAAGCCATAAGAAAAAGCATTTTTCTTATATATTTACTAAAAGTTTTTCAATCCTGATATAAAGTTTTACATTAATACTCTCTTGAAACATTTTATTTGAAATTTATTAACAATCTATTCAAATTGTTAAACTTTGTATTTCTAATATAGTAAAAAAAGAAAGAAATAATAAAAATTCCTTGACAACTTTTAACAATTTCTTTCCTGCTTTTGATATTATAATATGGATTTTCTGAGTTTTTCTCTGTTATGTACTTTTTGCGTTTAATAAATTTTTTGTCAGAATTTTTAATACATTTTTATCACATATGTCAAAATTAAATTTTCAGCATTTTTTTTTATATTTATCATACTACTATTTGCATAAAATACTAGCTTGAAAAAAATTCCACCTCTATATCAGTTTTAATTTAAACGTTGTGTGTCTCGAGAATAAAAGAGGGAAGACAAAAGTGTAAGCATTTGTGTATACATGTGTGTGTAGGTGAGTGTAATAATTATTAGATAAGTCTAATAATTATGTAACGAATTAGTATTTTTAATCATTTTATTATATATTATTATATATTAGTTTTGATTATATTATTACTATGCAAATATTCCTTATTAAGCCTAAATTTTGACAGTTTTGTGTGTTACTAACTTTCTCGTATCTAGACTGTTCTGCAACCTACTATATAAAACTTTAATACTGTAAATTCTAAATTATAATAAAAATCTTGTAGAACATAATGATGATAACATTGTAAAATATAGTACATTTAACATATTTTTTCTTGTAACTAGGTGTGCATACATCATATTAAAAAGCTGATTTACCTTTTAGTTGCCTCAGTTTCTGTATATCTTATATATTGATATCTGATAATGTTTTCATTCTTATTGGATCTAACGTAAAAATGTATATGTAGCTCGTATAATCCAGGAGATATTAAATCATCATATAATATGTCGAACCGCTGTGTTTTAGTACAAACACGATAAGATGCATAACGAGTATGTTGTACACTCTTGTTTGAAGCTTCAGTTATCGACTTTAACGATATGCTTGATGTGTATATATACGGTCCAAAACAATGCAAACTTAATCTTTTGACTGGTTTGTGAATTTTGATCACGATGTCGGATTCCCCATCGTAATTTTCAGATTCCATATTTAATTTGAGAAAAAGTTTATAATGTATTGGCTCTATTATTGCAATTGATAAACGTTCATCAGACGTAGCGTTTTCACAATTTCCGTGGTCCACATCTGTTTCGATAGCCATAGCAATGTTAAGTATCAAAGCAGTATACAATATTTGTTTGAAGCATATCGTACGCATTATCGTTTTGAATATATCTGTCAAAATAATTTACATGCTAGATAAGGAAACGATATAAAGATAAGTACAAATTAAGGAAGTAATTATACAGTTTTTCTCTTCTATTATGGCGGAAAGGAGAAGAGAAATAGAAAGATATAGTGCCATATCTAGTATTCATATATAGTACTATATATAGTATCTTTTACAGAAACAGCATAATATGTTTATATGTCAGAATATATGTATACATTTATCAACAAGCCAAGGCAAAAGTTTCCTTTTATTTTTATATTATTAACATATAAGAAAAGAGATTGAAACAATATCAACAGTTATATGTGTTCTATAGAGGATAACATCTTTCAGGGAAGGGAAAGGAATCTAAAGTTCTACATAAATTCTACATAATAATATTCATTTCGCTATATAACCATCACGTATACATATGAGTAGCATATTTTTTAAAGTAAAAAAAATTTTTTTTTGAACATATAAAGTCTATAAAAATAAAGTGAATACTATGCGATTATAACAGACATATAGCTTGCAGGACTTTGCTACGCGGAGAGACTAAATACATGAACTCAATAAAATGTAACGCAACTTTAAATAGTTAGAACTGCAGAGCATAAACATAAATTTTGTTTTAGAATATCCTGAAAATGCAGGATATATTGTAGGCAACATAATTAATTACATACCCCGAAAAACAGAGAGAAATTAAAGGGTTGTACAATTGTATACGAAATACAAAGTGACCCAATACTTAATGCATACTTAAAGTCTAAGAGAAAATGTTATTCAGGTTTTCTTACTTGGATAATATACTGTGGACAATCTTCTACGTATTTGCGGTTGCTCACTCTTAGTCTTTCGATGTATCATTTCTGACTCATGGTAACTCTAGTATGTGTTGTTATATATATTGTCGTTATATGTAAGAAGAATTAGCTAACCAATTGAAACTCAGTAAATGAATAATTGAAACTCATGTAAATGTGTTTATGATTAGCTACAGATACAGATATAAACACTGCTGCCGACAAACGTTACATTTCGATTCAAAATTACAACTTTCAGTAGTTAAGCGACCTGCGTAAGCGCACATATATATCTATTGAAAAACATGTAATAAATGTGTTTATATTTCCTTAAAATTTCTAGAAAAATTCTACGTCTTACGCAGAAAAATTTTTAAATTCTTATATAAATTAGCATATAGGATAAAACTTTATTTTGACACAGCTTGCTCCAAATGGCTTCCGGCTGACATTGATGTTGACCTTGACCCTCAAGGAGATCAGGACTATTGCCCTTTCACGGCTCTCGTTGTTCATTACAAAGTTCTTTACAAAAGAAGATAATTATTTCCATTAGGGGAATCACCTCTGATGAGCAGCTCCTTGACATATACCGATGGTATATTGGTATCAAACCAGACAAGATCTCTTGAGGACGCCTTTAGCACGTCTTGAGAACAAAAAATGCCCTCAGGACTTCCTCAAGATGTTCTCTGGATGAACCCTTAAACAACTGTGCTGTTAGGGAAGAATACATCTCTAAGTAACAACACAAAGATATTGTTCTCTATGTTATTAATTACAAAGGTTTTATGTGTCGCTTATTGTTTATTAAAAAGTTATTAAACATTTTTTTTATAAATGAAACAATTCTTGTACATAGTATATATAGACATAAGGTAAATATAAATGGTATACATACACACACACACACACACACACACATATATATAAACAGTCCATGTATATGCGCGGGGGAGGAGCTCCGCGAATGCCGGAAATCTGTGTTTTAGTACAAAAACGATAAGATGATGCAATGTATTAAAATCTACTCTGATTTCTCGTATAATATGATAGACGTAACGATATTGTTGATGTATCTATATACCGTCTAAAACAATGCAGGTTGAATACAATACAATATATATTTACAATTAAAAAACAGAAAAACGGAGTTTCATAATATACAATATCAAAGAGTATCATCAAACAATTATTTACTATTTATGACACAAACTAGTATATTTTGAGTAATTATAATAACATGAAAGCAAATATCTCTATTATTTTATTAAATATAATATCTAGCATCAAGTCAGATTTAATGTTATTTATAATAACAGATATTATTCTAGATGCTAATACATAATATTGATGATTAGTATATTAATATTATACAAATTATTCGATACGTCTTAATTTCTTCGTAAAAGTAAACCATAATATCAGATTCGCCATCAAATGGTTGGGATTCCAAATGCGTTGGATGTAGGCCAACTTAAATTTATAATGTATTAGCTTCATTATTCTAACCGATAAACTCTCATTAGTGAGGCGTTTTCACTATTTCCATTATCCGAATCGGTTAAAATACATATAAATAACATAGCCATAGCGATGTTAAATGTCAAAGCAGAATACAATGATTGCTTTAAACGTACTATGCCCATTATCGTTTTAAACATATCTGCCAAATATAATTTACTTATAGACACACGCAATACTGAAGAAAGTCATAACCAAATTAATCTTTCCAGTTAATTTGGGAAAAAAGAAATAAAAAAGAAGATTTACAATATATTTGACAAATATACACGTTGTGTGAAAGCATCCTAGTATATTGGTACAATGGATCAAGGTAAATAATAGAATCGATACGTTTTCGAAACAACTATGTAAAATTTAGAGTTATTAAGGCTCCTGAGCATTCAGCCGAGAACTCCACGTTGATAATAGCAACATAATATACATTAAGGACATTGGTACACCTTGCGTCAGACACTCGATATATATATATATATATATATATATATATATATATGCGTGCATTTGCGTGTGTGGGTCGATAAATTTTGACAGGACAATAATAATTCCATTTTGATATTACTGGCATATATGTAAAGAGATCAAAACAATTACAATGGTTACATGTCCCATAAAATATAGTTGCTTCATTTAAAAATACGAAACGCAATTATGGATAATATATCAAGCATTAATATTTCTGTATCTGATCTCTCTAACGCAATACTTCAGACTAGTAGCACTTCTAATTCAATCTGTTGATATAACTGAGAAGAATAAGTTTATTTAACTAAAATAAAGATATCGCATGAAGTACTCCATGTTTGTAAACATAAATATGTATCTAAACTTTTAATCGCTTGACACAAAATTTTACTTATAACAATATCTCATTAGAAATTGTTACGTAACTATCATAGTACTATGTCACACAAGTTAACTTATTGCAGAAAAAATGGAAAGGGTGAGGACGCATGTGTAACGGATTAATGCAAATAAAATCATTTATCAATAACTGCAAGATCAGAATTCATTATATTCATGTTAAACTTATACTCAGCCAAGTGCATTCTTGCAAATTATTCAAAGATTCCACTTAGCCATCAATTGCGATCCGTTTAATTATTATAGTATTATCCGTTTAATTATTATATTATTATAGAATTTCCTAAAAGGATATATAGGAAGACAGAAACTGTTTCAATAAATACCGTAATAAAAATATCTATTTGGTAGAGAAAATAACACAATACACATTTACAAATAAAAAACGAAGTAGGGAGTTTCATAATATAAAATACGAAAGTGTACCACCAAGTGTACCATTATTTATTATTTATGACATAAATTAATATATTTTAAGTAATTATAATAACATCAAAGCAAATGTCTCTATTATTTTATTAAATATAACATCTACTATTAAATCGGATCTAATCTTATTTACAATAACAGATATTATACTAGATGCTAATACATAATACTGATGATTAGTATATTAATATTATACGTTCGATTACATAATTATTCGATACGTCTATAATTTATTTATCGACTCTAATATCTAGTCATAAAAACGAATTTCATTCTTTCCCAAACTTGCGGAAATAGTAGGAAATTTTCTCTAATTGTATCTTCCGTTGCTTAACGAAAATTTCAATTTCATTTTTCTCTTTCTCTGTTAAATATCGGGTTGATTTTGCAAATGCTGTCACCTGAAGAAAACAATTACAATTTGCATGAGTAATGTAAAATTGCAGTTGTGATTGGTATGGAAAAAAGTAATTATCTTAACAGCACAGATGTCCAGGGGACATCCAAAGTACAATCTGAGGAAGTCATGAGGATATTTTTTCGTCCTCAGAACGTGTTTAAGACATCCTCAAGAGATCTTATGCTGTCTGGGCAATATTAATCAGAGAATATATTAATAAAATAACCGACAGAAGTAACAATGAAATCAAGAAATTTTACCACGTCAAAATTATCCGCAGAATATAATTCCATAATAGTGACACCTAATACTGCAACTGGAGACTTACTACCCAAAATACTGTAAAAAAAGTATATAAAATTTATTAAAATCCTAAAATAGAACTCACTACTTCCATCATAAACTAAGTATACATATGAAAGAAATATTACGTCGACGGTAATTTATTATAATTCCTTAAGATATGCATTAGCACATCATTTTTCCTTGCATGTTTCTTTACAAAAGAACGATATGCTGCCATAATAATGTCATATGACATCTCTAGATCTGCACCATCGTGGTTTGATATCATTAATTCCTCATATTTTAAGTTCCATAAAAATTCCAAATAAGCAATGAGCACATGTTCATATTCAGCACATGTCAAATACGTTAAATGCTCTTGAGTATAGTTGCCAGAATTTTTATCTAAAAACTGACGCCAAACCTGTAAATCTGCTTCCATCAAACCTGCACAATATATCCATTCCTTCCACCACGGTCGTATTCTATGACATATATCAGAAACACCTCACTCAAAAATTCTTTATTCAAAAGCATGTTTTCTCCAAACTAATATCATGATATAGCATGCAAGATGCAGAAAAAAAATTGAAGGTATCGTTACTAATAAAGTGAGGTACACGCACTTAGAGGAATCTTCGAGGTAAAAAATCAGTATAATAGTGGCACTCTTCCTACATGATTTATGGCCGAATTTACAAGCCCACTTTAATCCTAATAACCTTAAAGATTTGATCATATCGTCTTCCTCAATATTTTCACTGTATCCAACCTTCTCAAGAAGACCATCCAAAATTTCTAACACATATGACTGCGTATATTAAAAAAAACATAAATTTTTAATTGATTGTCGTTCGTAATGACACAACATATTTAAATATATAGGATGCATACAGTGCAATTATTTTGTACTTATTACGTATTATATTTGGATAATATATTATATACCCAAACCACTCGAGAGACATTTTTAAATGAAAATGCATGTAATATACTGATTCATATATATATACGAAAGAATATTTTAAAACTTGCCTTGAATCGTTCACTTTCTGGTAATTCAAAGTACTTCGACATGTACATTAAAATATTAAACATAGGGTACCAGGCTACATAATGCAATTCCCTTTTTAAGTATCTAATCAGACGTACAAACACAGAGGAATGGAGTTTATTATTTATCACAAAATAATACGCATCATCAATTAATTGAGCGCGATTCAAAACATTAATTTGGGTATAATTATGAAAATTTAAGTAAGTACAGATTTTGTCCCAGTTTTGGTAATCGTAATTGACGCGATAATATCCTGCAATTAAAAAGAAAATTAGCTTCTCGTATTAAGCTATCATACTCTTTAGTCATATTTACTGAGGACTCGTTCGTTAGTTCTCATGTTTCTTTCTAGAGAGCATAATTAGAAAATTTCGAATCTTCACGGATATCATCAAATATAAAATGTTATTTAATTTAAAGTAAAGTAAGGACATGGATTTTCGGCGATAAATACTCACCCGTTTGATTCATATTAATTATCACGAAATCATTAATATCCAATTCACGGATATATATATCATATGAACAATCAAATAAAATCATTTTCGATCTAACATACATGGAAGTAAAATTTGACATCTTGAGATAAGTTATAGGTGTCTTCCACTTCGTTTTGTTGCAATTATATGCCGAAAGTATTGCTAACCCATAATAATCACAATCGACTTTCAACTCAGGAAAATGTCTTTTTGTCATCCATGTATCCATTATTTCAGTTATGTTGTACAGCAATTTCTCATTATTTGTTAAGGAACTTTGCACAATAGCCCAGAGACCACTCATAGAATCTGTGGTATTGTCGCTAAGCAAATAAAAACAGATTTTAGGAACAATTCGTGAATATTTATTAAGTTTGTCGGAAAAGAATGTGCCGTTTTGACGTTTAAAATGAAATAGTAAATTGAGATATTGAAACGTTTATTCAATTCATGATACCATCTCCATTTTAATCGATAATCTGCTGCCACCTTAGAAGTCATACCAATTCACCTCACATTATGACTGCTTCTGCCACCAACGTCGAATCTGTCGGAAAAACGGCACGAACTTTTGCAACAACCTAATACTAATTTAATCTTGAAGAAAGTGATTGCCATATTTTACGTCGGTTTCGTAAATTATAGTCCCAGCAGACATGATAAAGTTTTAATAACGGATTACAGACATCTTCAGTGTCAATTATACGTCATTAATAGAGTTAATGTCGTATTACAATTTAGGGTAAATATATCAAATAGTACATTTATGACGTTTGAAAGAAATCTTAAAATTCCGAAGAAGTCTTACAAAATTATTAGAAGGATATTGTGTAGCAATTTAAGACGTCTTAGAAACACTTTCAAAATGTCTTAAGCGAGATGTATTTAGACATATTTAGACTCGCGTGTTTTTGTGGAATATTAAAATATTAACCGGGATGTACTATTATCGTATTATATCATGCATCACTGACCATTCCTCCGCACATTTCCGAATACTTTCCTTGTAGACATATTCCGGTGCTTCAAGAGAATAAAACAACATGCGCATTATAGCAGCTCCTGTAATAATTTATAAGCACAACGGAATAAATTAACTTAATCGTAGAGTACTATACTTAGGTACAGTACTTTTAGGTGTAGCATATCTGTGCTATTATTGAAACGCGTACCGTCTCTACCTAATAAAAAATACGGCAGAATTGAAGTTGGAGAAGAATCTTCTTTCCAACACAAACTACTTGCTACGCAACCTTATCTATTTAGCACTATCTATTTAACATATGTAGCAAATACCATTAAAATCAGTTTTGATGTAAAAATTCCTCACATTAGCGCAACGATATATTTTTTATAATACATTATCCTATATTTATTCCGCAAAGTTACATACTTTACTTTTAACAAATAGTCATTGATTTAATTGATATAATATAGTGTTACAAGAAAAACCATAAATTTTTAAACAATTAGGTTTTCGTGATTTATGAATTTCAAGGCCTTTTTCAAAATTTACGTTTTTATAAAACTTCATTCATAAGCGTTTAAATAAAAAAAAATTTAAGTAATATCCACTTTTCAAAGAAATGTTTATAACTAAAAATAACTAAATGTATTACACAACCAATATGGTGAATCGCAATTGGAATGAAGTGTAGTGCACAGGAATTAATATGTACATTTACCATAAATTACGTAATGTTGAAGACTGTACGAAAAGATAGAAACAAGATATAATGTACTTAATTTTCAACACGCTTTCAACGTTACCAAATATTTCATCTCCTTATAAATGTCATAATTAAAATGTATTCTCATTCAAATTAAAAATAATTTTAAATGCAGCCATGTTTTTTCAGTGCTTACAATATATAGTATACAGAAAGTCATTTACATGACTTCATTACGTCCTACCTTTATTATAATACGGTCGAGAATAATGAATTGCATCAATTTCATCAATGGAATGCATGAACTTGTTCTGTGACACAGGTGCCATTTGGAAATCGACGTCATAGTTCAAAGCACCTTGCATAGTCTGAACAATGGAAAGGTCCATAATCGACGAGTCACGTTCGTACTACAAGTGAATGTTGTTGCGGTCGAGTTAATATAATATAGAAATAATAATGTAATATAGAAAAAACTGTACAACACAATTTTGCAATATAAAGGTGTGAAATGACTAACTTGCAGAAACTTAAAAGCATTTTGGCAAAGCTAAAACTATAGAATTACCTGGAAAATGGCAAAATAACTTAAGAAGGATGCAAGTATCTTAATTAGCCAAAAATAAGAAGGACATATTATTTGGACGAGGACTTCCCGCGCTAATGAATCGCCTATTATCTTGTAGATGTACATTTTACGACCAGGAAAATCTGTAGCATAATCGTACTTAAAGCTTTCTTCTCTGCAAAATAAACATAAAATTATTCAGTGAAATATATCTTTGCCATATATTCATAATTGTTTATTCTAGCGCAATTTCAGGAAGAAAACATCGTCGTACATTTCACATTTTCCAACAATTATTTGCCTCATTAAAAGGCATGTACTCGTTTTCTACACTGTCGATTAATATAATAACATCCTTTTTGAATAACAGAGGAATCATTACTCTAAAATACTTTACCTCAGAAACATTTATCAGATTACACAATAACGTTAACAACACACTGATTATGTACCTGTATATAATAACTCCTAAACTTCCTATAATCTGAGATGGAAAATTCGGAATTACGATGTGATCACTTTCAATAATTCTATAATAGACACCGAGGTAATTTTTGAAAAGTTCTTTTGTGTCCCGAATTTCCAACATAATGTTCGTATTTTTTACTATATTCCGTTGATACCAATACAAATCATCGCCCAAATTACTATGAGTCATGTCATCAACCATTATGATTGCCACTTGACTTGAAGCTATAGGTTTGCTGATATGGAAATACGTTAATGAGGTATCATCTGATTTGTTTATCAGCTTTTCTACTGGCATATTCGATATAACTTTGTATTGCTCAGGATGCTCGATAATAATCTCATAATACATGTGTATTTCTGGTTCGTCCCAACATGGAAATAATGTTCGAGCACGATTTGATGTCGACAATATTCCAAGAAACCACCTAACGCAAAGCAATACATCAGCGATGATAAATCAATTTCTGTTTTAGCATAAAAATTTATCAATTATTATCTATATATGATGTTAATTGTGATTAAATTAATAGTTATTCCTGAATCTTGGAATAATATTTATGTAAAATTACGCACCGTTCATGTTAATAGTAATAAACATTTTTTAATAATTATATAGTTTATGCAGAGATTCTCTTTCGTCGTTTAAATCATTTGGTTAGGATTAATGCACAAATTGTAATATTTACCGAACGATAGAATTTAAATCTCTTTATAAAAGTTAAATTTAAGGACAAAAGTTATATGACTATTTTGTGCCCGAAGTTCATTACTTTATATAAATTAAGAAAAAAGTATGTTTCTCTTAACGAAAGACAATTATACTTGCAGTTACATTTATATTTAATTTTGCGGAGGATAGAAAATTTCCTTTAAAATCAAGCGGCACAAGTGCGGCACGACACTAAGATATAACTGACAAGCATAATTTAGTTTGATATGAAAAACAGCAGGTAATGTCACAGCACTATAAATAGCTTATCCGAAGTTTTAACGTCAAAAAAATTTTGATTAATATATCTTACCAAATAAAGCTAAAAGAAAAAGCATTTTTCTGATATATTTACTAAAAGTTTTTCAATCCTGATACAAAGTTTTACATCAATACTCTCTTGAAATATTTTATTTGAAATTTTTAACAATCTATTGAAATTGTTAAACTTTGTATTTTTAACATTGTAAATAAAAGAAAGAACTAATAAAAATGTAAGCATTTGTGTATACATATGTGTGTAGGTGAGTGTAATAATTATTAGGTTAGTCTAATAATTATGTAAGGAATTTGTATTTTTAATAATTTTATTATATATTATTATATATTAGTTTTGATTATAATATTACTATGCAAATATTCCTTATTGAACCTAAATTTTGACAGTTTTGTGTGTTACTAACTTTTTCGTATCTAGACTGTTCTGCAACCTACTATATGAAACTTTAATACTGTAAATTCTAAATTATAATAAAAACCTTGTAGAACATAATGATGATAATATTGTAAAATATAGTACATCTAACATATTTTTTCTTGTAACTAGGTGTGCATACATCACATTAAAAAGCTCATTTACCTTTTAGTTGCCTCAGTTTCTGTATATCTTATATACTGATATCTGATAATGTTTTCATTCTTATTGTATATACCGTAAAAATGTATATGTAACTCGTATAATCCAGGAGATATTAAATCATCATATAATATGTCGAACCGCTGTGTTTTAGTACAAACTCGATAAGATGCATAACGAGTACTCGGATTTAAAGCTTCAGTTATCGACTTCAACGATATGCTTGATGTATATATATACGGTCCAAAACAATGCAGACTTAATCTTTTGGTTGGTTTGTGAATTTTGATCACGATGTCGGATTCCCCATTGTAATTTTCAGATTCCATATTTAATTTGAGAAAAAGTTTATAATGTATTGGTTCTATTATTGCAATCGATAAACGTTCATCAGACGTAGCGTTTTCACAATTTCCATGGTCCACATCTGTTTTGATAGCCATAGCGATGTTAAGTACCAAAGCAGTATACAATATTTGTTTGAAGCATATCGTACACATTTTCATTTGGAATATATCTGTCAAAGTAATTTACATGCTAGATAAGGAAACGATATAGAGATAAGTACAAATTAAGAAAATAATTATACAGTTTTTCTTTTCCATTGTGGCGGAAAGGAGAAAAGAAAAAGATGTAGTACCATAACTAGTATCCATATATAGTACCATATATAGAATCTTTTAGAAAAACAGCATAATATGTTTATATGTCAGAATATATGTATACATTTATCAGCAAGCCAAGGCAGAAATTTCCTTTTATTCTCATATTATTCACATATAAAAAAAGAGATCGAAACATTATCAACAGTTATATGTTCTCTATGGAGAATAACATCTTTCAGGGAAGGAAGAGGAATCTAAAGTTTTATACATAATTCTACATAATAATATTTATTTCGCTATATAATCATCACATATAGGTTGCATATTTTTTCGACTAAAAAAAACTTTTCTCTAATAATATAAATTTTATAAAAATAAAGAGTATAATAAGCGATTATAACCAACATATAGCATGCAGGAGTTTGCTACGCGGAGAGACTAAACACATGGAACTCAATAAAATGTAACGCAAATACGCCTTAAATAGTTAGAACTGCAGAACATATAAACACAAATTTCGTTTTAGAATATTTTGAAAATACAGGATATATTGTAGGCAACATAATATATATTGTATACCCCGAAAAAGAAAGAGAAACTAAAGAATTGTATAATTGTATACGTAATGCAAAGTAGACCGCTAGAAACAGAATATTATAAAACTAAAATATATGAGTGTATACACTGAAGAAAATCTGTAATGCATACTTAAAGTTTAAGAAAAAATGTTATTCAGATTTTCTTACTTGGATAATATACTGTGGACAATCTTCCACGTATTTGCGGTTGTTCACTCTTAATTTTTCGACGTATCATTTCTGACTCATGGTAACTCTAGTATTTGTTGTTATATATATTGTCGTTATATGTGAGAAGTATTAGCTAACCAATTGAAACTCAGTAAATGAATAATTGAAACTCATGTAAATATGTTTATGATTAGCTACAGATATAGATATAAACACTCCTTCCGTCAAACGTTACATTTTGATTCAAAATTATAACTTTCAGTTACGCGAAGCTGCGCAAGCGCGCATAAATGTACATATCTATTGAAAAATATGTGCTTATATTTCCTTAAAATTTCTACAAATATCTACGTCTTACGCAAAAAAATGTTTAAATTTTTTATACAAATTATAATATATGGTAAATCTTTGTCTTTACTTTTATCTCAATCGTTTAAAACAAAATTTTATTTATAACAAAATCTTACTAGAAATTGTAACGTGACTAAAATAGTAATATATCACACAAATGAACTGTTATTGGAGAAAAATTGGAGAGGTTGAATACGTATGAGTAGCTGATTAATATAATTAAAATCATTTATCAATAACTGCAAGAACAGAATTCATTCAATTCATGTTAAACTTATACTCAGCCAAGTGCGTTCTTGCAAATTATTCAAAGATTTCACTTAGCCATCAATTGCCATCTGTTTCATTATTATAATATTATTCGTTTAATTATTATATTATTATAGAATTTCATAAAAAGATAAGTAAGAAAAGGATATGTAGGAAACAAAAACTGTTTCAATATATACCGTAATAAAAACATCTATTTTATAGAAAAAATAATACAATACATATTTACAAGTAGAAAACAGAAAAACGGAGTTTCGTAATATACAATATCAAAGTGTATCATCAAGTAATTATTTACTACTTATGACACAAATTAGTATATTTTGAATAATTATAATAATATCAAAGCGAATATCCCTATTATTTTATTAAATATAACATCTACTATTAAATCAGATCTAATATTGTTTATAATAACAGATATTATTCTAGATGCTAATACATAATAGTGATGATTAATATATTAATATTATACGTTCAATTACGTAATTATTCGACACGTCTTTAGTTTATTTGTCGACTCTAATATCTAATCATAGAAACGAATTTAATTATCTCCTAAAAATTGCGGAAATAGTGGGATAATTTCTGTAATTGTATCTTCCGTTGTTTAACGAAAATTAAAATTTCATTTTTCTCTTTCTCTGTTAAATATCGGGTTGATTTTACAAATGTTGACACCTGAAGAAAACAATTTCAAGTTACATGAATAATGTAAAATTGCAGTTGTAATTGGTATAGAAATGGGTAATCATCTTAACAGCACAGATGTCCAGGAGACATCCAAAATACAATCTGAGGAAGACATGAGGATATTTCTTCGTCCTCAGAACGTGTTTAAGACGTCCTCAAGAGATCTTATGCTGTCTGGGCAGTATTAATCAGAGAATATATTAATAAAATACCCGAAAAAAGTAACAATGAAATTGAGAAATTTTACCTCGTCAAAATTATCCTCAGAATATAATTCCATAATAGTGACACCTATTACTGCAACTGGAGACTTACTACCCAAAATGCTGTAAAAAATGTAAATAAAATTTATTAAAATCCTAAAATAAGACTAACTACTTCCATCATAAACTAAGTATACATATAAAAGAAATATTACGTCGATGATAAATTGTTATAATTCTCTAAGATATGTATCAATACAGGCATCTTTCGTGCGTGTTTCTTTACAAAAGAACGATATGCTGCCATAATAATCTCATATGAAATCTCTGCATCTGTATCGTCGTGATATGGTACAATTAATTCTTTATATTTTAATTTCCATAAAAATTCCAAATAAGCAAGGAGTGCATGTTCATTTTCAGTACATGCCAAATACGTTAAATGCTCTTGAGTATAGTTGCCAGAATTTTTATCTAAAAACTGATGCCAAACTAGCAGATCTGCTCCCTTCATACCTGCACAATATACCAATTCCTTCCACCATGGTAGAATTCTATGACATATATCAGAAACATCTCACAAAAATTCTTTATTCAAAAGCATGTTTTCTCCAAACTAATATTATGATATAGCATGCAAAATGCAGAAAGAAAATAATTAATGTTATCGTTAGTAATAAAAAAAGGTACACGCACTTAGAGGAATCTTTGACGACAGAATTCAGTACAGTAGGGGCATTTTTTCTGCATAATGCGTGGTCGAATTTACAAGCCCACTTTATTCCTAATAATCTTAAAGCTTTAGTCATATCGTCTTCCTCAATATATTCACTGTATCCAATCTTCGCAAGAAGACTATCCAAAATTTCAAACATATATGACTGCGTATATTAAAAAAACATTAATTTTTAATTGTTTGTCGTTCGTAATGACGCATCATATATAAATGTATTGAATGCATACAGTGAAATTATTTTGTACTTATTATGTATTATATTTGGATAACATATTATATACCCAAATCACTCGAGAGACATTTTCAAATGAAAAAGCATGTAAGATACTGATTCATTTATATATACGAAAGAATATTTTACAACTTGCCTTGAATAGGTTACTTTCTGGAAATTCAAAGAACTTCGACATGTATATTAAAATATTGAACATAGGGTACCAGGCTACATAATGCTTTTCCCTTCTTAAGTATCTAAACAGACGTATGAACACAGAGATTTGGAGTTTATTATTTATCACAAAATAATATGCATCATCAATTAATTGAGCGCGATTCAAAACATTAATTTGGGTATAATTATGAAAATTTAAGTAAGTACAGATTTTGTCCCAGTTTCGGTCATCGTAATTGACGCGATAATATCCTGCAATTAAAGAGAAAATTAGCTTCTCCTATTAAGCTATTATATCATATTCTTTAGTCATATTTACTGAAAACTCATTCGTTAGTTCTCATGTCTCTTTCTAGAGAGCATAATAAGAAAGATTCGAATTTTCACGGATATCATCAAATATAAAATGTTACTTAACTTAAAGTAAACGTAAAGACATGGATATTCGGCGATAAATACTCACCAGTATATTTCATATTGACTATTATGAAATCATTATTATCCAATTTACTGATATATATATCATATGAACAATCAAATAAAATTTTCGATGTAACATTCATGGAAGTAAAATGTGATATCTTGAGATAAGTTATAGGTGTCTTCCAATTCGTTTCGTTGAAATTATATGCCGAAAGTGTTGCTAACCCACTATTATAATCACGATCGACTTTCAACTCAGGAAAATGCCTTTTTGTCATCCATGTATCCATTATTTCAGTTATGTTGTAGAGCAATTTTTCATTATTTGTTAAGGAACTTTGCACAATAGCCCAGAAACCATTGATAGGGTCTGAAGTATCCTCACTAAGCAAATAAAAATATATTTTAGTGACAATTCGTGAATTTTGTATTAAATTGTCAGAAAAGTTCGTGCCGTTTTGAAGTTAAAAATAAAACAGTAAATTGAGATATTGAAACGTTTATTCAATCCATGATATAATCTCCATTTTCATCGATAATCTGCTGCCATTAAAAGTCATACCAATTCAACTTACATTATGACTGTTTCTGCCATCAAAGGTATCTGTCGGAAAAACGACACGAACTTTTCCGACAACCTAATTCTAATTTAAATCTTGAAAAAAATTACTGTCTTATTTCACGTCGATTTCGTAAATTATAATCCCAGCAGACATGATAACGTTTTAATAACGGATTACAGACATCTTCAGCGTCAATTATACGTCATTAATAGAGTCGTATTATAGAATGTCGTATTACAATTTATGGTAAATATATCAAATGATACATTTATAACGTTTGAAAGAAATCTTAAAGTTCCGAAGAAGTCTTACAAAATTATTGGAAGGATATTGTATTGTAATTTAAGATATCTCAGACATTGTTTCAAAATATCATAAATATTATATCTGAGACATTGTCTCAGAGTCATTGTTTCAAAATATCTTAAGCAAGATGTATTTAAGACATATTTAGACTCGCGAATTTCGTGGAATATTAAAATGTTAATCAGGATGCACTATTATCACATTATATTATACATCACTTACCATTCCTCCGAACATTTCCGAATACTTTCCTTGTAGACATATTCCGGCACTTCAAGAGAATAAAACAACATGCGCATTATAGCAGCTCCTGCAATAATTTATAAGCACAACGGATAAATTAACTTAATTGTAGAGTTCTATACTTAGGTGTAGCACTTTTGGGTGTAGCATATCTAGGTTATTATTGAAACGGCTACAGTCTCTATATAATAAAAAATACGGCAGAATTGAGGTTGGAGAAAAAGCTTCTTTCCAACACAAACTGCTTGCTAAGCAGCCCAATCTGTTTAACATATGTTTAGCTCTATCTGTTTAACATATACAGGAAATATCATTAAAATCAAGTTTAAAATTCTTTATATTAAAACAACGATATAATTTTTATAATAAATTATCCTATTTTTTCAGAAAAGTTACATACTTCACTTTAAAGAAATAGTCATTGTTTTAATTGATATAATACAGTATTACAAGAGAAACCATAAATTTTTAAACAATTAGCTTATCGTGATTTACGAAATTTTAAGGCTCTTTTCAAAATTTATGTTTTCATTAACATTTCAGTCATAAACGTTCAAACAAAAAAACATTTCAGTAATATCCACTTTTCAAAGAAATGTTTCTAATTAAAAATAACTAGATACATTACAGAGCCAATATAGTGAATTGTATTTGGAAAATATATTGAACGGGAATTAATATATATATATGCTATAAATTACGTAATGTCGAAGACTGTAGGAAAAGATAAAAACAAGATGATTTACTTAATTTTAAACATGCTTTCAACATTACCAAATATTTCATCACCTTATAAATTCCATATTTACAATGTACTCTCATGCAAATTGAAAATAAGTTTAACTACGGTCAGGCTTTCACTGTTTTCAATATGTAGTTTACAAAAGATCATTTATGTATATTTATTACACCCTACCTTTATTATAGTACGGTCGAGAATAATGAATTGCATCAATTTCATCAATGGGATGCTCGAACGTGTTCTGTGACACAGGTGCCATTTGGAAATCGACGTCGTAGTACAAAGCACCCTGCATAGTCTGAACGATGGAAAGGTCCATAATTGACGAGTCACGTTCGTACTACAAGTGAATGTTGTTGCGGTCGAATTAGTATAATATATGTATAATATATGTATAATATATATTAGTATAACACTGTACAACAAAAATTTTACAATATAAAGGTGTTAAATGACTAATTTACAGAAACTTAAATACATTCTGGCAACGCTAAGAATGTAGAATTACCTGGAAAATGGCAAAATAACTTAAGAAAGATGCAAGTATCTTAATTAGCCAAAAATAAGAAGGGCACATTATTTGGACGAGGACTTCCCGCGCTAATGAATCGCCTACTATCTTGTAGATATTCATTTTACGACCAGGAAAATCTGTAGCATTATCATACTTAAAGCTTTCTTCCCTGCAAAATAAACATAACATTATTCGGTGAAATATATCCTTGCCATCATATATTCATAAATGTTTATTCTAGCGCAATTTCAGAAAGGAAATATCTTCATAAATTTCACAGTTTCCAAACATTATATGCTTTATTAAAAGGTGTATACCTTAAAAGGTATACCCTTAAGGTGTATACCTTTAAAGGTGTAAGGTTATACTTGTTTTCTACGCTGTCGATTAATATTATAATATCCTTTTTGAATAACAGAACAATCATTACTCTAAAATGTTTTATCTCAGAAGCATTCATCAGATTACACAATAACATTAGCAACACACTGATTATATACCTATATATAATAACTCCTAAACTTTCTATAATCTGGTATGGAAGATTTGGAATCACGATGTAATCAGTTTCCATAATTCTATGATTGACTCCGAGATAAGTTTTGAAAAGTTCTTTCGTGTTCCAAATTTCCGACGAAATGCTCGTATTTTTCACTATATTCCGTTGATACCAATACAAATCATCGCCCAAATTAATATGAGTCATGTTATCAACCATTATGATTGCCACTTGACTTGAAGCTATAGGTTTGCTAATATGGAAATACGTTAATGAGGTATCATCTGATTTGTTTAACAGCCTTTGTACTGGCATATTCGATATAACATTGTACTGCTCAGGATGCTCGATAATAATCTCATAATTCATATGTATTTCCGGCTCGTCCCAACATGGAAATAATGTTCGAGCACGATTTGATGTTGACAATATTCCAAGAAACCACCTAACGCAAAGCAATACTTCAGCAATAATAAATCAATTGCAGTTTTTGCATAAAAATTCATCAATTAGTTATCTATATATTGTGTTAATTGTTAATAAATTAGAAGTTATGCCTAAATTTTGGAATAATATTAATGTAAAATGACGCACCGTTCATGTTAATAGTAATTAACATTTTTTAATAATTATATAGTTTATGCAACGATTGTATTTCATCGTTTAAATCATTTGGTCCGGAGCAATACACAAATTGTAATATTTTCCGAACGATAGAATTTAAATCTCTTTAAAAAAGTAAAAAATAAAGACAAAAATAATATGACTGCTTTGTGCCCGAATTTCATTACTTTATATAAATTAAGAAGAAAGTATGTTTCTCCTAACGAAAGACAATTACACTTGCAGTTACATTTATATTTAATTTTGCGGAGGGTAGAAAGTTTCCTTTAAAATCAGCGGCACAAGAGCGGCACGACACTAAGATATAACTGTCAGGTTGAACTTAATTTAGTTTGATATGAAAAACAGCAGGAAATATCATAGCACTATAAATAGCTTATCCGAAGTTTTTACGTCAAAAAAATTTTGATTAAAATATCTTGTCTGAATAAAGCCATAAGCAAAAGCATTTTTCTTATATATTTACTAAAAGTTTTTCAATCCTGATACAAAGTTTTACATCAATACTCTCTTGAAACATTTTATTTGAAATTTATTAACAATCTATTCAAATTGTTAAACTTTGTATTTTTAACATTGTAAATAAAAGAAAGAAATAATTAAAATTACTTGAAGGCTTTTATCAATTTCCTTCCTGCTTTTGGTAATGTAATAAGGATTTTCTGTGTTTTTTCCTGTTATGTATTTTGTGCGTTTTTATAATAATTTTGGTCAGAATTTTTAATATATTTTTATCACATATGTTGTAATTAAATTTTCAGCTCCTTTACCTTCTAGATGCCTGCGTTTCTGTATATCTCATATATTTATATCTGATAATGTTTTCATTCTTATTGGATATACCGTAAAAATGTATATGTAGCTCGTATAATCCAGGAAATATTATATCATGATATAATATGTCGAAACGTTGTGTTTTAGTACAAACACGATAAGATGCATGATGAGAATATTCTATACTCTGATTTAAAGTTTCAGTTATCGACTTCAACGATATGCTTGATGTATATATATACGGTCCAAAACAATGCAGACTTAATCTATTGATTGGTTTGTGAATGTTGATCACGATGTCGGATTCCCCGTTGTAATGTTCAGAATCCATACTTAATTTGAGATAAAGTTTATAATGTATTGGCTCTATTATTGAAATTGATAAACGTTCATCAGACGTAGCGTTTTCACAATTTCCGTGGTCGACATCTGTTTTGATGGCCATAGCGATGTTAAGCATCAAAGCAGTATACAATATTTGTTTGAAGCATATCGTACACATTATCGTTTGAAATATATCTGTCAAAGTAATTTACTTGCTAGATAAAGAAACGATATAAAGATAAGTTCTAATTAAGGAAGTAATTATACAATTTTTCTTTTCCATTATGGTGCAAAGGAGAAGAGAAATAGAAAGATATAGTACCATATCTTTTACAGAAATAGCATAATATGTTTATAGTCAGAGGTACGTACACATTTATTAACAAGCCAAGGCAGAACTTTCCTTTTATTTTCATATTATTGACATATAAGAAAAGAGATTGTAACAATATCAATCAACAAGATCGGGAGATATCAACAATATCAGTTATATGTGTTCTATGGAGGATATCATCTTTCAGGGAAAAGAGAGGAATCTAAAGTTCTACATAAATTCTACATAATAATATTCATTTCGCTATATAACCATCACGTATATATATGAGTTGCATATTTTTTAAACTAAAAAGAACTTTTTTTTAATAATATAAAGTTTATAAAAATAAAGAGAATACTAAGCGATTATAACAGATATATAGCATGCAGGACTTTATTACGCGGAGAGACTAAACACATGGAACTCAATAAAATGTAACACAACAGCGCCTCAAATAGTTAGAACTGCAGAACGTATAAACACAAATTTTGTTTTAGAATATTCTGAAAATGCATGATATATTGTAAGCAACGTAATTAATTATATACCCCGAAAAACAGAGAGAAATTAAAGGGTTGTACAATTGTTTACAAAATGCAAAGTGACCCAATACTTAATGCATACTTAAAGTCTAAGAGAAAATGTTATTCAGATTTTCTTACTTGGATAATATACTGTGGACAATCTTCTATGTATTTGCGGTTGCTCACTCTTAGTCTTTCGACGTATCATTTCTGACTCTTGGTAACTCTAGTATATGTTGTTATATATATTGTCGTTATATATAAGAAGTATTAGCTAACCAATTGTAACTCAGTAAACGAATAATTGAAACTCATATAAATGTGTTTATGATTAGCTACAGATATAGATATAAACACTCCTGCCGACAAACGTTATATTTTGATTCAAAATTATAACTTTCAGTAGTTACGCGACCTGCGCAAGCGTACATATATGTACATATCTATTGAAAAACATGTAGTAAATATGCTTATATTTCTTTAAAATTTCTACAAAAATTCTACGTCTTACTCAGAAAAATACTTAAATTCTTATAAATTAATAGGAAATATAGGGGTTAATATAGGTTTTACCCTATATTTAGAATATAGGGTAAAACTTTATTTTTACACAGTTTGCTCCAAATGGCTTCCAACTGACGTTGATGTTGACCTTGATCCTCAAGAAGGTCAGGACTATTGCTCTTTCACTGCTCTCGTTGTTCATTGTAAAGTTCTTCACAAAAGAAGATAATTATTTACATTAGAGAA